TTCTAATATAATTCCTACGGTTTTAATGAGGAAAATAAACCAAGGGTCTAGAAAGGGACAAAGCTGCTGGCCTACATATTTTTTTAAAAAATTAGAAGTGTTTGAAGGAATGTAATTAAAGTAGTGGCTTGGGAAGCCCAGGAAGTAACCCTGATATTGACAAATATAAGCGGATGATACTTAACGAGCACTCACCATATGCCTGGCCCTGTTCTAAGTACTTTCTGTGTATTAATTTACATAATCCTTTTAGTAGCCCAAATAAATAGGTCCTATTATTTTTATTTTGCAGATGAGTCTGAGGAGGCAGGACCACTAAGTGTCAGAGAGCATGTCCTCTTTCAACTTTGAAGGGGAATTCAAAATATAGGAATCCTGGTTACAAGTTCAAGAACAGTGATTTTCAGGGAGCCTCCTGGACCTAGTACCTCCACCTCCACTCCCAGAAAAGCAGGGTTGCTTTTTTCCAGATAAGTTTTAACTTGAAGAAAATAGTATTCAGGCCGGGGGCGGTGGCTCCAGCCTGTAATCCCAGCACTTTGGGAGGCCGAGGCGGGTGGATCACGAGGTCAAGAGATTGAGACCATCCTGGTCAACATGGTGAAACCCCGTCTCTACTAAAAATACTAAAAATTAGCTGGGCATGGTGGTGTGTGCCTGTAATCCCAGCTACTCAGGAGACTGAGGCAGGAGAATTGCCTGAACCCAGGAGGCGGAGGTTGCGGTGAGCCGAGATCGCGCCATTGCACTCCAGCCTGGGCAACAAGAGCGAAACTCCGTCTCAAAAAAAAAAAAAAAGAAAAGAAAATAGTATTCAACTAAAAAAGAATCCTTCTAAGTTGTTAGCATGCCCACTCTAAACAATAATCTTGAAGGAGACAAGTGTCCAAAACCCGTGAGATTCTACATCACAAAGTGATGGCCAGGAGTGATCCAGCCTATGAGAACATTTTGACTGGGCTTCCCGTGCTGTTTTGTAAAAATCAAGTTAGGTGCCACACTTGAAAACAGAAATCAGGAGAGTTCAGTTAGCAATCTGGTCCTGGCAACACAAGGCCCACCTTTCCACAAGGCGAGGGGTCAGGTAGCTATTTCCCACTTTGGCGTGAACTTTCCGGTCCCCACTGTCTCCACGTGAGGGCTCTGGCATAGACATTATCCGCTGACCCTGCGGGCATCTGGTGCACCCACCCAGCTCTGAAAGTTAGTCCTCTTTCTGAATTTAAATGCATCCCAGGTTATATATAGCATCACTTGTGAAAACTCCCCCAGAATTTCTGAAAACTCCCTCTAGCTCAATTCTTCCTTCCAATGCAGCTGGCCCTGAAACAAGTGTCCTAACCCACTTCAGACTTCAAAGGAGCTGGCAGAGTCTGCTGCTTAATAATAGTGACCTATGGGCATTCGGAGTAAGCCTACCAGGCACAGGAAGGGCCTCTACTGGGCGACATAGGCAGAAGGGCTCATGGCTCAACTTCAAAATGTTGAGATTATTTTACAAATGATAGAAGCATTGGGAAAATCACTTCACATTTCCAGACAACACAACGCATTAAAAATAATATATTCTGCTGGTATATAAACCCTTATTTTATTTGCCCTGAGTTCATTTCTTCCAAGTAGCAAAAGGGTCTTCTTCATGTCTTCATTAAGAGTATAAACACTGTCATCTTCAGTCTCTCCATTCTCGTCTGATTTTTCAAACCTAGGTTGTATTTTTTATTTTTTCTAGCCAGGTTCTGCTTATCCATTATTTATAGTTAGGGTTATACATATCTACCTTCATCCAAATCTTGCTTTAGTCAGTCTTGGGATGTGTGCCCACCTTGGTCCTCCTCAACCAAGAAGGGTGGGGGCGTGGTGGGAGGGAAAAGCCCCACATTCAGGAAGAGATGGGGATGCCCTTACTGGCAGGCCCTTTGACCCTGCAGGAGTCCCTCAGTCCCTCGTGTGTAAAGTGGGGAGAGTGGCTGCCGGTCATCTGGTCCATCAGACCCCCTCACTGAGGGAGGCCTGCGGTGGGCTAGGCTGGGCTCCAGGCACTCCTGGTTCCGGGCGAGCAAAACCCTTGGTCTGGAGGGGAGGGATGAGGAGGGCGCCTGAGGGCCAGTGAGCGGAGGGGGGGAATCTGTGCAAGGGAGAGTGAGGATGAGCAGGGATTCCTCAGGAGAAGGCAGACGGGGACCACGTTCCATCCAAAGAGAAGCCCCCGTGGGGAGACCCCGGGCTGCGAAGCCTCCTGGGCAAGGCGAGCAGGAGAGGAGCGGACGAGGAGGGGCTGGCGCTGCCCTCCCGCCCCGGGGCAGCCTCCGTCCTGAGGATGGGACCCCCCCCCTGCCCCCCGGAAAAGCGCCCCCGGAGGCCCGCCGCGGCACCCAGAGCAGCCATTTTCCTCCCAGCCCTGGGGCTGGGGAAGGCGCTTGCGGATGAGGAGAGGGGGCCTCCGCCGGGCTCTGGCTCCCGTCCAGGGGCCGGGGCCGCACACACAGCCGCCCTGCGGGTGAGCTTCAAAGCCGAGCGCCGAGGAGCAGGGAGCCAGCGCCAGCAGCACCTTCCCCGCGTGGGGCCGACTGCCGCCCGGCCGTTTCTCCGAAGCCTTGAGGCCCCCTCGGCTTCCGCAAACAATATGGCCCTCTTCCAGTGCCAAAGAAAATAGCAACGGGGTGGAAGCGGAGAGGGGAGGGGAGGGGAACAGGGGAACAGCGCCTTGGCGAAACCTTTCCGTGGAAAGAAATCAGCTGTGGCCGCCGGCCGCCGCGCAGCGATAGCCATCTCGGGCAGGGCCCGGGCGGGACCCGCGGCTGGAGAATGTCAAGGCTCATAAACGTCTCTCGCGGAACGCCAGGAAAGTCCAAAGGGCCCTCGGGTTTACTCAAGCCAGAAATCAGTAGATGAAAGCGCAGGCCGAACTCAGGAATGGCGCCTTGTTCTGCCAGGAGCCCCTGCCTGCCCTGAAGAGCCCCCACGGGCCTGGTGGGCCGGCTCCAGCCAGTGGCCAGTGATCAAGACCTGGCCTCACCTGCTCCCTGGCTCTTCCCATCCGCCAGGTAGAGGCTAAGACATCAGCCTCAAGCAGCCTGGCACAATGCTGACGCTTTGATCCGCATGCATATAAAAGAGATCTCTGGAAGAGCTTTGAGTTTTAAGGGGAGCCTCTATTTCCTCCTTTGTGAAATAGCCCAATTACACCTACTGGATAGGATTGTTGGGGCGACCTGGGAAACTTGAGACGACAAAAACACGTAGCACCTTGGCTGCCAGTCAGAGGGTGCTGAGTGAGCAGCAGCACCTGACCGCACAGAACCCACCTCCTGCCTGGATTCATCAGCAACTGGCAATGGTGTGACTGCTACTCGCCTTTAAATGCTGCAAATCGCACCACTGCCATTTGCTGTGGGGGTCTAATATGTGAGGGACCCGTTCAGTCATGGTCACCTTGCTCTCTGCATGTCACTCTCTGCTGTCTGCCTTTCTACTCAGGCCCTTGCGTTGTGTTCTATCCTGCTCTGCCCCGTCTCAGCCACTCTTCATGTTCATCTCTGCTCTGCCCTACCCTCTGAGGACCGCTATGGTGGCATGGGGAGAGCAATGGCTTTCCAGTTCAGGCTAGGGTTCAAATCCAGCTCTGCCACTCACTGGCGTGGGTTCTTGAGAAAGTCCTTCATGACTTGCAAGTTCCTCTTCTGTGGCCTCCTGGGGGACAGGGACCAAATCTGTCCACCATGAATCCTTAACACACAGTGTGTTGCTGCATACATAGTAGATATTCAATACTAACGTTTGTAATAGCATTTAAATCCTCCAGGCTCTGTTCCAGGTACTTTTATGTATATTAACTCATTTAATCTGCAGAACAACACTATGATGTAGGTGCTATGATTATTCCGGTTTTACTAGTTAAGAAACTAAAGCTTTCATTTGTTGAATGAAATGAATAAATGGATGAATGAATAAATAAATTCCATGGCAGATACAATAATTGTTTATGTCAAAGAGCCTGACCAAGTACCTAATACCTCACCTCTCGCATACCTTGTGTCCGCCTCACTTTCCATTTCTCCCAGGAACAGTAGGACAGAACTGTTGAACACCAAATCCCTGGGCCACGCACAGTCACATCCCAGCCTCCCAGACAGATGGTACTCACAACGCTGAGGCATGTACACGACGCCTCTAAAGGAGTGAGGGACTCTGATCTCAGGATAGAAATTACTCTGAACACCACCAAAAACACAAGAACAACAAAATAACCAGCTCTCCCATGACCACTTTCCTCTGGAGGCGCCTACTATGGTGACCCAAGAACAGTCAGACTCTGGGCAATGTCTAAGAAACCAAGGCTATTGCCACAAAATGGCCAGTAACCATGCAGAAACAAGTCACCTGCATTGGGCAGCTGCCCTTTAAAGTATAGGGACTCAAACCAGCTTCAAATGGCATCTGATACACAGTAGACATGTGTGACTATTGAACTGGTTACTAAGTTTCTATGTGCCAATCTACATACATTAACCCCAAACTCCATCACAGTCCTGGGTGTTGAACATATTATCCCCATTTTACAGATGAGGAAACTGAGATTTCAATGCCCACAGACCTTGCCCAATTGGAAAGTGGTAGAATCAGAATTTCAACTCTGCCTGTCAAACAGCTGAGTCTGTGCTTTTGACATCATATTGTCTGGAATCAAATAACTGAAGGGCTGTTTTCTTTCTTTTTCCACTAAATGCTTTTTTTTTAAGCACCAGCACTAACTCTGGTTCTTTCTTGCCCCTGTCATTCCCTCTCTGACCCCAAAGCTTATCTGCAGGATCCAATCCTTCTGATCTTCTCTGCAGAATAGAAGGTGACCTGGGCCCTACAGAAAACCCAGGGATGAAGGCCCTTTTCAACTCATTGGCTGATGGATGAGGATGTTACTTAACTGATGTGGCCTTCGGGGGCCCTCTCGAAGACTATCTTGGGACTATCATTCCTCACTTCTTTCTCCTTTGGTGCAGCCTGTGACTCGTACTGGACGTCAGTCCACCCTGAATACTGGACTAAGCGCCATGTGTGGGAGTGGCTTCAGTTCTGCTGCGATCAGTACAAGCTGGACACCAATTGCATCTCCTTCTGCCACTTCAACGTCAGCGGCCTGCAGCTGTGCAGCATGACGCAGGAGGAGTTCGTCGAGGCGGCCGGCCTCTGCGGGGAGTACCTGTACTTCATCCTTCAGAACATCCGCACACAAGGTCAGTGTTCAGAGGACTGGGCCTCCGGGGAGGGGCGGGCGGGGACAAGGATTAGGACCAAACAACCTGGAGAAGTCCTTTTTCACCATGTGACATGCACAGCAAAATTTTACTAACTGGAGTTCTCTGTTAACCAAAACCTTCAATAACTGGAAGCTAGCATGCCAGAATTGGGGATTTTAGGGAAAAGGGAGCAAGTTACAGAAATGCAAGTTGAGTGCATTTAAAAAAAAAGAAAAACCGGCTGGACACGGTGGCTCGTGCCTGTAATCCCAGCACTTTGGGAGGCCAAGGCGGGTGGATCACCAGGTCAAGAGATGGAGACCATCCTGGTCAACATGATGAAAACCTGTCTCTATGAAAAATACAAAAATTAGCTGGGCATGGTGGCATGCACCTGCAGTCCCAGCTACTCGGAGACTGAGGCAGGAGAATTGCTTGAACCCAGGAGATGGAGGTTGCAGTGAGCCAAGATCGCGCCATGGCACTCCAGCCTGGGCAACAAGAGAGAAACTCCGTCTCAAAAAAAAAAAAAGAAAAAAGAAAAACTAACACCACATTTAGGGACTGCCCAGGCACCAGGCTTATAATAATACAGTGTCTTCATAACTATTTGAAACCACACAGGATGGACAAAAAAGAGGTTTGTGCTTCATCTCTCATTAAGCAGAAGGGGAATAAAATTAAACAGACCCTCTCCCTTCTCATTTCCACAGGAGTCCAGCTAATTACCATTTCTCCACATTCCTAATGGTTGAGGATCAAGTGGCCAGAAGGTGGCGCCAATAGCATTATTTAACTTTTCAACAGGTCTTTTGCATGCAGAACGTCCAAGCACATTTTTTTCAATCCAGAAAGGTTCTTTGAGAACATCGAGTTCTCATGTCTCAAAGTCACACATAGATGAAAGGAACTGATATCCCGAGACATTAAGTGACTTCCTCAAGGTCACACAGCATACAGAGCTGATTCACAGAAGGTCAGTACAAAGCAAGGGCTTGGAGATCTCAAAGACCTGCATTCCAACCCTCGCTCCAATACTCTCGAACCATAGCACCTCTGGCGAGTGGCTTAACCTGTCTGAATCCCCATTGCCTCATCTGTCCAATGGGATAATGACACCTCCATGAGCTGTTTTTAGAGGATTGAGGGAAATATTACCTAGCACAGCATATAAAGATGGAAATGCAGTAAATGGCAGCTATTTCCATCATCATTAATATAATCAAGAGGCATTGAAGGATGCTAAAGGAGACGTATCTCACCTCGGTTTTAAGAAGGATCTTTTTAAAAGATAGCACCTTCACCGGGAGCGGTGGCTCAAGCCTGTAATTGGAGGCTTGAGCACTTTGGGAGGCCGAGGCAGGTGGATCATGAGGTCAAGAGATCGAGACCATCCTGGTCAACATGGTGAAACCCCGTCTTTACTAAAAATACAAAAAAATTAGCTGGGCATAGTGGCACGGGCCTGTAATCCCAGCTACTCAGGAGGCTGAGGCAGGAGAATTGCTTGAACCCAGGAGGCGGAGGTTGCGGTTAGCCGAGATCGCGCCATTGCACTCCAGCCTGGGTAACAAGAGCGGAACTCCGTCTCAAAAAAAAAAAAAAAAAAAAAAGATAGCACCTTCTTTTGAAAAGGTAATTCAGAAGATACAAGAAATAGGAAGCTCCCCACCACCAGAGATAATCAAGCAGTCTAACAGCCCCCTGCTTGAAGGCTATGACAGCCACTCTTATTTGGACAAAAGACCCACAGAGGACCTTCCTGCTCTGTGATTCTTAGACCTCTTCCTGATCTTCATCCATCATGAGCTCCAGAGGGCAGAAAAGCTAAGAACGGTGGCCCTTGGGCGCTTCATGGCTTGGGTCCTGGGAGCCACAACTCCAGTGACAGTGACCTGCCAAGAGCTGGGATCTGTGTCCTGTGCTTGGAGTGGGCACTCCCTGAGAGAGGACAAGTTTGAACAAGTCACAACAGCTCCAGAAGGAGCTTGGGACTCCATTTAGGATCCTCCCAAGGGAACAGGCTTGCACGAAAATCCTAGGGCCATGGAGAGGGGTGAATTTCATTCTGAAAAAAGATGCAGCCTGGCAATGCCAGCTTGGCCAAATGACAAGTCAACATTATTTGTCTCCACGCTTTTGTGCAGCCCCAGTGCTGGTGTCTCCCACCACAGGCACCTCTCTTCCCTGGCAATTGTCATATATAAAAAAAAATATACCTGTCACCAGGCATAGTGGCTCATGCCTGTAATCGCAACACTCTGGGAGGCTAGGACAGGTGGATCATCTAAGGTCAGGAGTTCAAGACCAGCCTGGCCAACATGATGAAACTCCGTCTCTATTAAAAACACAAAATTAGCGAGGCACACTGGTGTGTGCCTATAATCCCAGTTACTCAGGAGGCTGAGGCATGAGAATTATTTGAACCCAGGAGGTGGAGGTTGCAGTGAGCTGAGATTGCACCATTGCACTCCAGCCTGGGCAAAAAAAGAGTGAAATTCCATAAAAAAAATAAATAAATAAATAAAAAATAAAAAAAAAACTGTCCCTGGTTTTATTACCCCAGGGCTCTGTGCAAAATGGGTAGGCTAAACCTAAAAAGCCAACTGCTTTTTAATAGACTATGCATTACCTCTTCTTATTCTAAGGAATTCCTGGAGTCACAATGCTGCCTTTAATGGTGGGATTTCAGACACTCTTTAGCCAGGAGGGTTCCATGTTGAGCAGTAAAACTGTCTGCTCCACCAATCTGCTCCATTCTGAAACTCCTTTTCTAATGTTTCTCAAGCAGGTATGTGGATTGTAGATTGTGGAGATGTGTTTATTGTGACCAAAGTTCACACTGTCCCCATTTGCCCAAGAAACACCGTTTTCACCTGTTATCCTGCGGTAATTATTGCTATAGCACTACCTTTCATTCTCAAAAGCGTCTCCATTTGGATCATAAATTATGTAGTGAACTCAGGGTTATTACCTCATGTATGCTACCCCATAGGTTAGGACTCTGGCAGAACAGGATACCGAACAAGGCAGTTTTGTTGAGGAGATGAGCTGGAAAGGGGCTATAAGGCCGCGCACCATCCAGCTCCAGCTCCATCTAGGTATTACGGTAGGATTTACGGGCCCAGAAACCTGGGGACACTGGTTCTGGGAGGCAACGTCAGAGGGTGGCTCCACAGCCTAGGAGAGATACGAGCCCCTCTTCAGTCTCCCATCCTGCTCTCAGTCGGCCCTTGGGCAGTGTCAGCTGGGGTACCTGGCTGACCAAAACCAATGAGAACATGACACCAGGAATAAACAATCACAACTGCGCCCTGCTCCAGTCTGCTTAGCAAATAGAAATTAGTCCTTGGGTTGGACCAAGCTAGGAAATAGGTATCCTTCAGCCTACACTGCTATGTAGAAACAAGATCGGAAACTCCTATTTCAGCCCCATCCCACCCCATTCCCCACAGGGGAGAGAGCCAAGGCCCTGGCCTCATCTTCCACACCCTCATTAAACTCAGCGTTCACTTCGGGTTTCGTACTTCTTCCAATCTCCTATGCCCATTCTCCCTGCTGACCGGCACATAACAGCCATTCCAGTCCCCGAGGGATTAGAGGCCATGTCAGAGACTATCGACTCTTCACCAAAGGGGAGCTGAGTGGGTATTTTATCTCATGATGTCAATGAGAAACACCAATAAGCCCAGAGACTGAGTGACAGAGCATCTGCAGAGGCTGCTGGGATGCCTGGTTCTGGGTGCTCCCTCCAAATGACCTTTAAAAATGAGGACACTGTTACCTCTCAGGGATGACTTCAGGGTGGCACGCTATGGCCAGATGGTCTCCAAGGTTCCCTCTAAAATGTAACCAACCTTGAGAGGGACAGTCACTCCACTTCCCGCCAACACCCCCTCTCCTGGGCTGGCCAGTGGAAACCAGGATTGTATGGTATGGTTTGTGGATTTCTTTTTCTTTCCCAGGTTACTCCTTTTTTAATGACGCTGAAGAGAGCAAGGCCACCATCAAAGACTGTAAGTATCCAAGCACAAGCCACCTGAGGCTCTGTCAAGGCTGTCATTGGCACATGGGCTTGAGCATTCTTTTAGGATCCTACTGAAAAGTTGATGAACTAAAACATCCCAGACCTGGAGAAGCCAGTGGGGAAAAGTGTGGTGGAAAGTGTGACAGCAAGAGCATGGGCGTGGGCCTGTGGGACACGGCTTGAGTCTATGGATTGCTTGTCCTCCAAGACTCCATTCCCCTGTCTATAAAATAGTGTGACCCCTGTGGGTCATGGTGAGTTTGAGAAATGACACACAAAGGGTCCAGCACGTGCCACCAGTGTAGATGCCCCCAAAACCAGTATCTATTAGTCGTAACACTAATAATACCATTAGAAGCCTGTGGTCCATGGTGCTTAAGAAGACTCTGAGCTCACGAAGTACGGAGGGTTTGTAAACACAAGATGATGGAGGATGCTGATGATTAAACTTCCCCGTTTCACTTTGGCAGATGAAGAAGGCTAGGGAAAGGGATCTGTGGTGCTTTCATTTTTTAAAGATGACAGTGATGATTGCTGTTAGTTACTGAGTCCGAGAGGCCAGGAGATGTGGTCCTGGGCAAACCCCATTCCCCCATGGGCTTCAGCTCAGTCATCTGCAGAGAGGGAGCAGAGCACATGGTGATTTCCAAGGCCTCTGAGGGGTGCAAGCTGGAGGGGCAGACACAGAGGGACTGTTCTTATGGTTTATGATTCTTTTTTTCTTAAAGTCCCAAGCAATCAACTGAGGAGTCATATTATTTGGCTCCTAGTTAACAAAAGTTTTTAGATTTCTGTTTTTTGTTTTGTTTTTGGTGCTTTAGCACAGGAATAGCCAGTTTGTGGACCACATGCTACAGACTGAATGAAGCAGGCGCACTCTGCCCCACAGACCGCGACGACCCTTTCACGAGCCGCTCTGCATTCTGCCAGGTTTCATCACTTAGGGCCCCCGGGTGTAGCATCTCACCCATCTGTGAACAAAGCTCACACAGTTTCCTGGTGCTGGCAGAATCCCTTGTGATCCATCTGCAGCAGCCATGGGGATACAAATCCCAGCTTTCACCGCCCCACCTAACCCAGGCAAAGGCCCTGGAAGAAATGAGACATTACTGTGGCCAAAGGCTTGAGCCACAGGCAGGCATTTGCTTTACTCTCTAAGCAGTGGTGACCTGGACCTGACCAGCCCTTTCTCCAGGGGTCAGTGTCTTTACCTACAAATGGAATCACTTACCAGCCTGCCTTCCATACGGCAAAAGGAAGATCATGCAATAGAAAGGGAAGGTGTGTCCAGTCAGTTCTTTTCAAGTAGGTGTTACCTGAATATGCAACTAGCCACAGTTAGATTCAGTGTGATGATGATGATGAGGATGAGGATGAGGATGACAATAGCAGCTAGCATTTGTTGAGTGCTTCCTATGAACCAGACCCTGTGCTAAAATCTTTATAGACGTTGTGTCAGGTAATCTTCCCAATATGAGACAAGCCCTAGTACTATAGCCTTTTTCTAGGGGTAGGAGCCGGAGCTTAGCGTTTAAAGGTGACATGCTTAGAAGGCAACAGATGACCCAGTTGTGTCTAAATCTGAAGCCCCTGACACCTTTGCTCTGCTTACCTATTTATTTCTCTCCTGTTTCCTTCACTCTTTGAACAAACATTCATTGAACACCTACTATATGCCAGGCCCAAAGCTAGGCAATGTAGCTGCCATGATGAGCACTACTTGAGTCTTGCTCTCACTGAGGCAGGGTCAGGGTAGAGATATTAAACAAATAACCCGAGTGATAAATTCATAGCTGCTCATGACAATGATATTATAAAGGGAAAGATCAGGATGCTTTGTGTGTAATGGGGAAAGACTGCATTTAAACTGGGTCCAGGGACAGCTTTTTGGAGGAAGAGATATTTGAATTAAAGCATGAGCAGAAGTTAGCCAGGAAAAGAGGGAGGAAAAGGTTCCAAGGAGTGAATGGCCAGCACGGAGACCCTGAGGCAGGAACAATCTTGGTGTCTTAGAGAAAGAACCAAAGAAAGCCAGTGGGTCTAGCACTAGCTTGGCCAGTACAGCAGCTGCTAGCCAAAAGGGGCCAGTTTAATTACTTAAAGTTAAATTATATTAAAATTCAGCTCTTCAATTGCACTAGCCAAATTTCAAGTGCTCAGTAGCCGCAGGTGGCTCAGATTCTACTGAGCAGTTCAATTCTGTGATAGTGGAGGCATAATAACCTGTATAACACTCAGACAGGGCATCAGTAGAGTCTCAGCAGCATCAGGAGAACGAGGGGTGGGAGCTGAGGCTAAGAGCAGGGCAGGGCCAGATCACGCACAACTCTGTGGGCAGCAGAGTTGGGATTTCATTCTGAGCAAGCTGGGAAGCCACTGAAAGGTCGTAAGCATGAAAGTGATCAGATCCTATTTACATTTTAAGATCTCTCAAGCTGCTATTGTCTGAGTCAGAAAGCAGTCTAGCCAGGAGCTTCCTGCCCAGAGGAGTGATAATGATGGTGGTCCCCAGCGATGGGGAAGAGGTGGAGAGAAGTTTCTAGAAATAGAAGTGGTGGGGCAAGGGCTCTGGGCTAGCATCTCTGGAGCATGCACTCGTGGAGACAAGCCCTCTGCTGACGGTGGGTGCCATGTGCTCTGCCCAGTCTGCTGCATTTGGGAGGCTAGAACTAAACTGAACTCAGGGTTAAGAAGCTTAAGTCCACCCCAGAGCCTTTGCCATATTCCAGCCTCAATACCTTGGCCAGGACACTATGACCATCCCCCAAATCCCCTGAGGCCCATCTCTGGCTCTCCCGCAACCCTGTGACCATGCTTTCTCCAAACAGAAACCCTAATGGACAGTTGATGAGCGAAAGGAGAGGTATGAAGACAACACATTGGTAGTTTATACAATGAGCCCATTCCAGAAAGTCCAGGGCATGTGGTCACAGTGCCTATGGCCCGGGTGATGTTTCATGGTCTCAGATATTCCCTGACCCAAAAATGAGAGGCCACCTTTCAGTGTTGATGTGCCATTCAAAGACCAAGACCTGGCCAGTGAGGACAAAGTGGCATCCTGGGGCTTTCAGCAATGTTCCCATCGGGTCTTCAACAAAAATGAATAGCTCTCTTTACCATTTATTAAGCACTTACTATGTGTTAAGCATGACACTGTGCCAAGTGTTCTGCTTATATTATCTCATTTTATCCTTGTCCGAGATCCGTTAGGTAGTGTTGTTATCTCCATTTGCATCTGAGGAAACTGGACGTGTAATAACTTGTAAGTACAGGGCTGAGATTCCAACACATTTCCTCAAAGCCTGTGCTTTTATACATTGTGTTATGCACACACACGCACACACACACACGCACACACACACACACACAAACACACACACACACGGACATATGCACACACGCTCCCAGACCCTTCTATTCACTCGGCTGCCCATTCAGTTAAGATCCAAGGCCCAGGAACCTCACAGGGTCCGGGTCTAGCTTGACAGTAATTCAAACAATAAGACCGTTTTCGACTTGGTGCCCGCTGAAGGTGTCCAGGCACACAAGCTACAGAGCTGGCCAAAGTGAAGCAACCCATTCCCTCTCTGCTTGTTCTCTTCTCTCCACCTGCCCCATTCCCTACCCACCTCCACTGCAGCAATGCCAGTAGAGGGTATGCTGGGCCCAGGAACTAAGTCTACAGTCCTGGTTCACTGCCAGTCACCTCCCTGCTCCTGAGCCTCAGAGCTTCTCTATACCAGCCTGGCATGGGATATGGGCACCATGGCTGGACTGCTGGTGTCATGGGGATATGATGAACTTGCTTTGCAAACCCTGCCAGACTGAGAATCTATCCTTTGGCCACATTTTAAAAGTGTCCAGTCTCAAGGCCAACCAAGCCTCTCTAAATGTCACAGACAGTAGAGAGCCTGGGCTGTGTCTCCCCTCATGCCCCACTAGCTACAGGGACACAGGCAAGATGATGAAAGTTGTAAGCCAGGGAGAGCTGCACCCTGAAATACAACTGGCATCTACAGAGAAATACGGTGTGTTCACGGTGCTGCTACAGATCCACCAGCCAGCCCTCGTGCGGGTTGATTTGGGAACCTGCCTCAATATTAACACTGCAGTAATGACTAGCTCCCTGCCTCTGCCGCCACCAGCCAAGCGAGGCCTTGACTAGTCAACCAATGAGTACCTTCAAAGCTATCACTGCAGAGCTAGGAACAGATAGAACAGGGTTATCTCTGGCAAGACCCACGGCAGAAACTCCCACCATCCAATAAACCCCTCTCATGCTGATCTGTGCTGTTTGTCCTACCATGCCAGATCCCCTGCATCCAAAACACACCAGAAATCATAAAATCCAAAGGGCAATGTTTTTCCTCCCACTTCTTGCCATTTTGCATTTCAGTGAAAGCTTGTTGTCTATTCTCTGCACTTGCTGTCTATTCATAATTCACCTTTGTTTATGACTCCGTTTGTTTTCTCTTCTAAAAGATTAAATCAAAACAACAGATTGATCTGGAGATAGTAATAGACATATATCATAAGGGTGGGGGAGGTTGAGTGAGCATCCAGCAACAGCAAATGCTCAACAAATCTTAGCTAATAATAGCTCATTAAATGTCTGTTGAACACCTGCTGCGAAGTTGTGATAAAGTAGTAGTTGTATTAGCTTTGGAATAAGAACTGTCTGGGTTCAAATCCGGGCTCCATCATCTGGATAAAATTCTTAAACTCTCTGGGTGTCAAATTTCTCCTCAATAAAATAAAAATCCTCCGGGCTCCATCATCTGGATAAAATTCTTAAACTCTCTGGGTGTCAAATTTCTCCTCAATAAAATAAAAATCCTAATAATATCACATAGGGTTGTTACAAGGATTAAATGGGATACTCTGTGGGAGGCCCTTAACAAGCACTTGGCATTTAGTAAGTGCTCTGTGAATATCAGCTAATAGTAGAGGAGAAAAAGAGATGAGATGAATCTTTCCAGTAAGTGGGTCCAGTTCTGTGATACCAAGGAACACACAGGTGCTCTCTATGGGGCTCATAAAGGATCTGACCCAGAAGGTAAGTTCAGAAAAGCCTTCCTGAAGAGGTCTTGTGAGAGGTCAGCTGGGTAGAAGTAGAGAGTGGGGTGTCTGTGCAAAGGTCCTGAGGCAGGAGAAAGCCACACCCCAGTGGAACCATTTGACCCAAGGGAAGGGGAAAAAGTTGGGAGACAGATGAGATAAGACTGGAAACTTGGGTGGGGGTCAGTCTGTGAAAGGCCTATCTAACGTGCAGCCTTCATCCTGGAAGAAATGGGGAACCACTGCAGGATGTTCAGCCAGGGAGTGACATGACCCAGTGGCACTGAGAGAGGTCACCCTGAGCAGCAGTGTGGGGCACAAGATGTCATTCCTGCCCTTCCTGCATTTAGCAATGACAGTGTACATACTAGATGATGCAGCAGGAATTGTTGTACAGTATAATGTAGTACAGTATAGTATAGTTCATATAGTACAGCACAATATGGTATCGTTAGTACACTGTAGTACAGTAGAGTATAGTTAGTGCAGTATAGTATAGTTAGTATAGTATAGTGCAGTGTAGTTAATACAGTATAGTCTAATTTGTATAGTACAGTGGGTACAGTATAGTATAATATACAGTATAGTTAGTATAGCACAGTATAGTATACTTATTACAGTACAGTATAGTATAGTTAGCATAGTATACTATAGTATAATACAATATAGTGCAGTTGGTACAGTACAGTATACTTAGTACAGCACAGTGTATAGTTAGTATAATATACTACAGTATAATACAATATAGTACAGTTAGTACAGTACAGTTTGTATAGTGCAGTATAGTGTAGTTATTACAGTAATAGTATAGTTAGTATATGCAGTGCAGTACAGTGTAATTAGTATGGTATTGTAGGGTATGGTTAGCATGGTATACTACAGTGCAGTCACAATATAATTAGTATGGTAAGTACAGTATAGTGTCATTAGCATAGTATAATATAGTATAGCACAGTACAGTATAGTTTGTATAGAATAGTACAGTTTAGTATAGCACAGTACAGTATAATTAGTATAGTATACTATAGTATAATACAATATAGTATAGTTAGTATAGTATAGTACATAGTATAGCATAGTACAGTATAGTACAGTGATAGTATAGTTAGTATCACACAGTATGGTATGGTGTGGAATACTTAACATGGTGTACTACAGTATAGTCACAGTGTAGGTAGTATAGTATAGTACAGTATAATATAATGTAGTAAGTATAGCATAGTTACTATAGTGTAGTACAGTACAGTGTAGTTAGTATAGTATGGTACAATAGAGTATAGTTAGTACAGTATAGTTTGTATAGTATGGTATGTACAGTATAGTATAGTTAGTATAGTACAGTGCAGTATGGTGTGGTATAGTGCAGTAGAGTTAGTATAGTACAGCATTATACAGTACAGTTAGTATAGTATGGTGCAGTAGTTACTATAGCATAGTACAGTGGCTGCTCGATGATACTCACTGAGCACCTACTATGTGCCCCGGCAGTGTGCTAGGTTCTGCAGGGTTACGTCTGGAAACACAAATTGCTGCCCTCTTGTGGACACAGACAGACAGTGAACTACATGAATAAATATACATCATAGAATATACTTGAATATTCTATGTAAAATGCGGAGCAGTGGGGAGGATGTACAGTCCCAACTTGGGTGGTCAGAGGAGGCCTCACTGGAAGGTGATTTTGAGCCAGGATTGAGATGAGGGCGTGCACCACAAGTATCCAAGGGAAGAGCGTGCTGGACAGGTGGAAGAGCAACTGTGAAGCCCCAATGTAGAATGTGCCTGCACGTTTCCAGAGAGTCCGAAGCCAGGGTGGCGAGGGCAAAGCAAGCGGGGGGTTACGGGAAGCAGTGGAAACTGAATTTGAGCTGGAGGGGCAGATCTGGTGCCACCATTTTAAAAACTCATGTACTACTTTGGGACAGTGCTTATCCAGGTGTCTCAGGTTGTGACTCACAGCCCGAGTTACCATTTAAATCAGCACAGAGTTAATGTCTTGCTTTCTACCCTTCATAAGCTCTGGTCTCTTTGCTTTTACTTGTGTCTCTTCCAGTCTGTTCTTCACATAGGAGCAAGAGAGATCTTAAAACGTGGATCTTTGCTCTGCACTTTGATATAAAGTCCCAAGTCCTTACCATGGCCTCCCAGGAAGGCCCAGCATGGGCCTTGATCAAAACCAGATTTATTTATTCTCATCGGGGTGTTAAGGCACATCTTAAAGCATCCTGACACCTGCCAGCTACTAATCACCCCCAAAGTGCCTAACAGCTTCTACCACAAAGGCATTCAATTAGTGTTTGCTCATTTGGGTATGACTTGAGGTCTGTATACCTTTCCACTGCTATAAATTATTCTTTTTCAGATGCCGATTCCAACTGCTTGAAAACAAGTGGCCTCAAAAGTCAAGACTGTCACAGTCATAGTAGAACAAGTAAGTGCAGGAGGCCGGTTTTCATTTCCACTTTCTTAAAACCATTCCTAAAACGAAGTCATCTATTTTAATAAGCTTTGGAACTAAACATTTGAGTTGGACCAGTTACTTCCCAAGGAAGGTAGTAAAGAAATCAATGATTGCTTTTATATGTATTATCAAAATCAGATTTATTTCTTCTTCTAAGAGTGGGTGAGATTGACAATAGGAAATACTTAACAAATCATAGCTAATAATTATCCATTCAATGTCTATTGAACAGCTACTATAAAACACATGATTGTAGTTGTGAACATTAGTTTTGGAATGAAAACTCTCTGGGTTCAAGTTATGGCTCCACCATCTGGAGCCATGTCCAATCCTGGGTCCACTGTGGCTTCTTCTCAGAGGAGGATAACAAAGAAAACACTGGGAATCGGCAATTCTATTAGCTTTCCTAGCACTAAGAGATCTGCGCAGAGCAGTGGCAAGCTTGTAATTTCACAAATGAGTGTGTAGAAAACAATTGCTATACTCGAGGCATGATTCCAACTACTTGGTATGTATTAAATCATTAAATACTCTAACCTATCCTAGGAGACAGGTACTCTTATTATCCCATTTTATAGGTAAAGTAACTGTAAGAGTTTATAGTTATAAAGGTAGGAAGAGATGAATTCAGGACCCAGACCCAGTCAATGGGACTCCAGAGCTGGTCTTAACCACCATATCCTAGAATAAGAGAAATACCAGCCTTTCATGAAAAACTAAATTGCAGGATCAGTCCACCCAGACAGCTGTGGCTACGGAATCAGTACAACCATGCTTCCTGTCAGAAAGAAAAATCAAAAGATCATTTGACTGTCATTTCATTCATTCCATAAGAATTAAACTGTAGGCCAGGTGCAGTGGCTCATGCCTATAATCCCAGCACTTTGGGAGGCTGAGGCAGGCAGATCACAAGGTCAGGAGTTTGAGATCTGCCTGGCCAACATAGTGAAACCCCATCTCTACTAAAAATACAAATATTATCCAGGTGTGGTGGCATGCACCTGTAGTCTCAGCTACTAGGGAGGCTGAGGCAAAAGAATCACTTGAACCCAGGAGGCAGAAGTTGCAGTGAGCTGAGACCGCGCCATTGCACTCCAGCTTGGGTGACAGAGTGAGACTCTGTCTCAGAAAAAAGAATTAAACTGTAGTTCCATAGAACATCTGTGAGTCACAGTGTTTGTTTCACAATTGCTTTGATCAAAGACAGACACATGTCACAACTCAGTAAGTTTCCAGGTGGAGCAATCAGTCATGGATCAGTGAGAAGTTGCACATCTGTTCTCTTAAACAAGCCGGGCATGGTGGCTCATGCCTGTAATCCCAGCACTTTGGGAGGCCAAGGTGAGTGGATCACCTGAGGTCAGGAGTTCGAGGCCAGTGTAGCCAATGGGGCCAAACCCCATGTCTATTAAAAACACAAAAAATTATCTGGGCATGGTGGCGGGTACCTATAATCCCAGCTACTTGGGAGGCTGAGGCAAGAGAATCACTTGAACCCAGAAGGCAGATGTTGCAGTGAGCTGAGATTGTGCCATTGCACTCCAGCCTGGGTGACAGAGTGAGACTATCTCAAAAAAAAAAAAAAAAAAATTTTAAAAAACAACTGTAAATTGCTAATGTTTTCCATTTTCAAAAGGCCTCCAAAGTTCTCATCTATGGGAATTTGTGCGAGATCTACTTCTATCTCCTGAAGAAAACTGTGGAATTCTGGAATGGGAAGATAGGGAACAAGGAATTTTTCGGGTGGTTAAATCAGAAGCCCTGGCAAAGATGTGGGGACAAAGGAAGAAAAATGACAGAATGACATATGAAAAGTTGAGCAGAGCCCTGAGGTAAGTTAATAGCATAAAATACCATGAGCCTTCAAGAAGAGTTATATAAAATGGATGGCTGTAGAAAATTACACTGTTTTTGCAGTTTTTTAACCTGATAATGGAAAGGTCATGAGACAAAACGTTGGCTCTTAGTTACAGGTAGGATTATGGTTTGCAAATTGACACGCCGTCCTTAGCATTCTTGGCAGTATTCCCCAGGGATCACTCTGAATCCAGGCCATCTCGCACACACACGCACAAAACACGTTTTGAACTGAGAATGGTGAGGTTCGGTCTTCGAGATGTCTGGGAAAGGTTTAAGTGTAAGTTGATAACAGGGTGTGAAAATACCAGGGTAACCAAAGTCCAGCCTTGTCACTTGAGAAGAATGAGGAGAGAGTTTGTGTTCTGTTGTTTCCCTAGGGTGCAAGCCCTCCCGGAATTTCTCTTCTGCTTGCTTTTTCAGATACTACTATAAAACGGGAATTTTGGAGCGGGTCGACCGAAGGTTAGTGTACAAATTTGGAAAAAATGCACACGGGTGGCAGGAAGACAAGCTATGATCTGCTCCAGGCATCCAGCTCATTTTACGGATTTCTGTCCTTTAAAACAATCAGATTTCCATAGACTTTGGAAAGGCTTCTTTTTCTTTTCTTTTCTTTTTTTTTACTTGCAAACGTGCTGATAAAATTTCTCCACATCTCAGCTTACATTTGGATTCAGAGTTGCTGTCTACCAGCGGGTGACAGTGGCAACTCGTAAGAAATCCTTTCTTCCCCGTAAGGGGATGAGGGGATGATCTTTTGTGGTGCCTTGATCAAACATTATTTTCCTAGAGTTGTGGAACAGTGACAGCCAATGCCATTGGTGCTGATCAGAGAAAAATGATTCAATGCTGCCATTGGAGACACATCCAATACTCCCATCCCAAAGGTTCAAAAGTTTTCAAATAGGTAACTGTGGCAGCTCACCAAAGGCAGGGGAAAGCATGATTAGTTTGCAGGTTATGGTAGGAGAGGGTGAGATATAATGCATACATACTTTAGATTTTAAATTATTATAGCCAAAAATCCATAGAAAATCATCCCTTTTTTTTTTTTTTTTTTTTTTTTTTTTTTTTTTTTTTTTTTTTTTTTTTGAGATGGGTTCTCGCTATGTTATCCAGGGCTGGTCTTGAATTCACAGGCTCAAGCGATCCTCCTGCTTCAGTCTCCCAAAGTACTGTGATTACACCTGTGAGCCACGGCACCTGGCCAGAAAAGTATCTTAATTAATGAAAGAGCTAAGCCATCAAGCTGGGACATAATTGGATTTAGCATAGGTTCATAGTAATTTCTTAACCAGAGCATCTTTCTGACCACTCAGCAAAATTTCCACAGAAGGCCTTTCTGGACTTACTCAACATTAACCACATTATTAACTGTTGCTGGGTTTATCCCCCCTTCTAACTGATGGCTGGCATCTGATATGCAGAGTTAGTCAACAGACACTGGCATCAATTACCAAATCACTGCTGTTTCTATGATTCAAGCTGTCAACACAATAAAATTGTAATTCATTGATTCCATCTCTGGTCCAGATGTTAAACATTTATAGAATCGGAAATGTCCTGACAACTCTGTAACGGCCAATTAAATGGCAAGTCTTTTTTGTTTTGTCTTCCTACCTGATGTGTATTCAAGCCCTAAAACACCTATTTCCTTGACAAAAATAGTGACAGTGAATTTACACCAATAAATGTTCATGGGTTAAAGTCTGCACTGACATTTTCTCATCAGTCACTGGCATGTGAGTCATTGGCGACTTACTACTAGGTAGACTGCCCCTAGGACTTCTATTTCACCTGAGCAGCAATCAAGTGGTGAGGCACTGAACCGCTGTACAGGCTGAAGACCTCCATACTTAGAGTTTAACTTCAAAATAACTTGTTTTTAAAAATGTGAATGACTGTGAAATAATCTATTTTTGGATTCATGTGTTTTCCAGGTGGATATAGTTTGTAAACAATGTGAATAAAAGTATTTAACGTGTTCAACTGTCTGCGTATCATTCAATTCAGCATAGTAGGCTCAGCAAAGCACTGACAGCTTGGAAAACCTTTGGTGACTCTCCCATTTCCTAGCAGTTGTGGCTGGAGATTTATTTTTTTATTTTTGGAGATGGGTTTTGCTATGCTGCCCAAGGTGGCCTAGAACTCCTGGGCTCAAGCAATCCTCCTGTCTCAACCTCCCAAGTGCCTGGATTATTATGAACCTTTGCTAAATCCACACCACACTTGGCAGGCTGGAGATTTTTAAAGAGCCCAAAAAGATGCAAGAAATATATGAAGTAATCTTACCCTCCACCTTTAATATCTCAAGACGGAGGTTCCCCTCGCAAAACGGAGCTCACTGACCCGCAGAGCCTACAGATGCATTTTTGTTTGGTGCATACAGTATTGTTTGTCTGTTGTTTTGAGGTTTTCTTTTATTTCTTACTGTGACTTCATTGCCTTATTTAGAAATCGAAAGACTCACCTAAAAGTCCAGACTTCTAGCTTCTTTTTAAAAATCATATCTGGCAACACTAGTATCTCTCAGTCTCTTGTGGCATTAATTTCCTGGAGCAAAACTGAAGTTGCACCTTGGGACAGAGGATCTGGTCCTACTGCCTTCTGGACATGCAGTTTGTCAGCTGCCGTTCAACTTTGTTCTTGCACTAATGTTTGTTGTTGTTGTTGTTGTTAACACATCCAGAATGCCTTTACGTTTTGAATTTGGGACCCATGTCCTGGCCATCTGAAGAGGTAAGTACCATGTTAATGGACCACAGTCAGGATGAAAGGAAAGACTGTCCAGGAAAAGAGAAGTTAGCTAATAGTAGGGGAATGGGGAGCAAATGAACAGATTTTTAACTAGGATTCTAATATTTACATTTTTAGATAGTGCTGTGGCAGAGTGTAGATGAAAAACACCTTTTAAGATGAGGATGCAAGAAACAAAAATGTTATGTCCACACAAAAATGTATACAGAAATGTTCATACCACCACTATTCATAATAGCCAAAAAGTAGAAAGAGCCCAAATATTCATCAAATCATAAATGGATAAATAAAACATAGTAAATCCATACAATGGAATATTATTTGGCAATTTAAAAAATGAAGCATCATATATGCTACAATATGTAAGAATCTTGAAAACATTATGCTAAGTATGTAAGAATCTTGAAAACATTATGCTAAGTGAAAGAAGCCAGTCACAAAATACCACATACTGTATGATTCTATTTAACTGAAAAGTACAAAGTAGACAAATCTTAGATTCATGATGGCCTAGGGCTGGGGGCAAGGTTAAGAAAGAAATGGAAAGTGACTGCTGATAGGTACAGGTTTCTCTTTGTGAGATAAAAATGCTCTAAAATTGATTGTGGTGATGGTTGAGCAATTCTGTGAATATACAAAAAAATTAATTTACTCATATACTTTAAATGGGTGAGTTTTATGGTAAGTAAATTATATCTCAATAAAGCTCTTATTTAAAAAAAGAGAGAAGAAGAAAAGAAGAAGAGAAAAAAGAAGGCGGAAGAGAGCAAGAAGGACAAGAAGAAGAAGAGGGAGGACGAGGAGGAGGAATAAGAAAGAGGAAAAGGAAAAAGGGGGGTCACGTGTGCCTGTAGTCCCAGGTACTCAGGAGGCTGAGGCCAGCCTGAGCCACATAATGATACGCCATCTCTAAAATAAATAAATAAAGAAGTCAGTGTGAATGACCAACTGTGTCAAACACTGCTGAGAGGCCACATAAGACAAGGACTAAGAATGAACTGTTGGATTTTTTTGTGTGGTAAAATATACATAAAACTTACATTTAGCCATTTTTAGGTGTACAGTTCAGTAGCATTCAATACATTCACACTGTTGTGCAACCACTGCCAACAACTACCTCCAGAAGTTCTCACCCTTCCAGATAGAAAGCGCAATGGCGCAATCTTGGCTCACTGCAAACTCCGCCTCCTGGGTTCAAGCGATTCTCCTGCCTCAGCCTCCTGAGTAGCTGGGATTACAGGTGCCTGCCATCACACCCAGCTAATTTTTGTATTTTTAGTAGAGATGGGGTCTCACCACATTGACCAGGCTGGTCTCGAACTCCTGACCTCAGATGATCTGCCTGCCTCGGCCTCCTGAAGTGCTGGGATTACAGATGTGAGCCACCATGCCCAGCCCGATAAATCTAGTTTCAATGTCTACAAGTATAATGGTTTCAATGCATACTCATACACAGCAGGAATTTAGGCAGGAGGGTCTGACAGAGGAGTAAAGGAATCTGAGCTAAAAGATCAAGAATGAGTTTGTCTACTAGTGGTCTAATGGTTTCCTGAATTCCTGAAAGTACAAACTGATTTGCTTTTTTGTTTTGTTTTTAGTTGTTATCGCTGTGAGTTGTTTTGAGACAAGGTCTCACTCTGTTGCCCAGGCTGGAGTGCAGTGGTACAATCACAGCTCACTGAAGCCTCAACCTCCTGGGCTCAGGAGATCCTCCCTCCTCAGCCTCCTCAGTAGCTGGGACTACAGGAATGTGTTACCACACTCAGATAATTTTTATATGTTTTGTAGAGACAGGGCTTTGCCATGTTGCCCAGGCTGGTCTCAAACTCCTGAGCTCAAGTGATCCTCCTGCCTTGGCTTCCCAAAGTCCTGGGATTACAGGCATGAGCCACCACACCCAGCACAAACTGGTTTCGAATATGAACAAAATAAAGATTTTCAAGGAAAATAAATTTTTATTTAGCATTTAGAATGCATCTTTAAAGTGTTTCATGTGATTTTAAACCATGATAGGCAAATACCGGTTTTAAAAAGAAGGAGGCCAGAAGCAGTGGCTCATACCTGTAATCCCAGTATTTTGGGAGGCCGAGGTGGGCTGATCACAAGGTCAAGAGATCGAGACCATCCTGGCCAACATAGTGAAACCCTGTCTTTACTAAAATACAAAAATTAGCCAGGCGTGGTGGTGAGCGCCTGTAGTCCCAGCTACTCGGGAAGCTGAGGCAGGGGAATCACTTGAACCCAGAAGGCAGAGACTGCAGTGAGCTGAGATCATGCCACTGCACTCTAGCCTGGTGAGAAAGTGAGACGCCATCTCAAAAAAAAAAAAAAAAAAAAAAGGGGGGGGGGAGGAGGAGGAGGAAAATAACTAGTGGTTCTGAGCCCTAATTTTAAAAACTCAATCATAGGTAAGTGAGAGAATGGTCAAGAGATTTAAGTAATCTTCAAAGTTAGAGCATTTGCTATTTTATCAGTGTCTCAGAAAGCTTACCAAAGGCTATAGATTTAAATACATAACATGGTGTCCTCGAGATACTGACATTTCCATTTTTAAGGGTAAAACATCTGAAAATGATGACATTCAAATTAAGAATCTGGTGGTACTTCAGGAGTTATACATGGAATCAAAAGAAATCAAATACCATCTCTATTCTTTTGTACAGATTATTTATTGTAAAAATGTAAGCAATTACAAATTGATCTGTTGTTAAATTAGTGCTGAATTAAGATTATTGTAATTCCAAGTGAAAAAAATGAATTTGATCAATTACAAGCAGGAATAAACATGAAGCCATGATGGTGCACAAGTTAGTTTCTGATGACACTAGTGTATTAAATGTGCTTTTCCTATGAGAACCTTAGAAAAATAAAAATTTCTGAGTTGATCATCTTTATCTTTTCTTCTTATATAATTATAGCCATATTTTAATATAATAGGCCGTGAGGTGATATGTAAACATATATAATTTCCACAAGTTTTATCAAATAAAACCATATTTGTAGCTAGAAACTTTTCTTCTAGTCATTTTAAATGAATAATCCAACAAACTGTCAAAACAAATATTTCCTTTAAAAATGACTGTTAAATTCTAACCTTCATTTTCCCCTGGGGAAATAGCGTTAAAATTGTGACACGATTTGCTGTAGAAAGCGGGATTCTCTATCTTGATGCCATTTGCTTGCATTTGCGCATCTAGCCCAGGAGAAGCTTCATGCAATGATGAGTGGGTTACACGGGGGAACGCTAAGCTTTGCTGCACTGGCGCAGGCCCCAGCCTC